CATGTTAAGATTTATATTTTACGATTGTAAGAGAGTGTCTTGTGACAAGTGCAACAAATCTATTAAATAATACAGCTACTGACAGCTGTTATGTCCCTCTTCTACCATTGTAATAAAATTTGCGGAAATGGCTGGCTCAACTGAATCAGACTTGTACAAAGCACTGTATACTAATTAAAAATAGTACAAGCTTCCATGAAAACCAGAAATCATTCTTTTGTGCATCGTTGGCATGTTGTTTAAAAAAGAACATTTGCTTCAAGCTCAGCATAGATATAAAATCTGTAGTAGGGTTGGACTGATGGACAGTGCTATCGTCTATCATTGATGGCTGAAAGGCATACCAATGTTGAGCCAGGAAAAATCTGAAGTACCGTTACATGACAAGCCTATATATCACTATGTTTCACTGTAGACATCATCGTATGCCAATTAGGTATACATCACCCAACACTAATCTGTAGCTGTTGTAACAAGTTCTGACCCCAATGCTGAAGCGTTATAATTTCATTTTGAACCCAATCCATATTCTAATGTTTGAGTTAAACATGAGATTAAAGGGTTACTGACATATGATACTGTGCTTGATTTTGAAAGTTAAATCAGCATGTTACATGTGCTAATAGCTATTAAGGTGGTTGTGAAATTGGCCCTTTTTTTTTTTACCCAAAACCTTGTGCAAGAAATGTTATTCAGGTCTAGTAGAATGGAGGCAGACTGGTAGCTCTGAGGCTAGGGATCTATGCTAAGTGGAAGGTTGTTGGTTTGAATCTTGTAAATCCCATGAGTAATTCTCCTCCATTGGACCCTTGAGTAATGCCCTTAACTTGCAGTTGCTTCATCCTGGGTATGATGTTAAGCTACATGCGATGCAGTTCCACCCAAAATCTTGGGTGCAGTATAATCATGTTTTGTCACAGGATTACAGAGGTTATAAATTGTTGACATGTTTTTGTGATGTAAAAAATGAGTCAATGATTTCAAAAATGAAAAACATACAATACGCTGGTTGCATGAGTGTGCACACTCTTAAATTAATGCTTTGTTGGCGCACCTTTGAACTTAATTACAGCATTCACTCTTTTTGGGTACATACCTGCCATCAATTACCCCTGATTACCCCAAGTAAAGTTCAGTTGTCCTAGTCGGAATTTCCTGACATTTACTCAGTTGCATCCTACAGCAAAAGCCATGGTTCACAGAGACAAACCATCAAAGGGATCTCATTGTCGAAAGGTTTCAGTCAGAAGAAGAGTGCAAAAACACAGTCTTCAGGAAGCTGAGAATATATGGAGCAACGGTGACCTTACCACGAGCTGGTATATCCACCGTATGTTTATATACAGTACAGTTAGTATTAAAGTAGCATCTAATTTTTATTTAAGATTGAGTGGTGGGAAGATATTAAAAATTTTAATATTTTCAGAAGCAAGAGAGAAAATATTCCAAGCACTCAACTGGGAACAATCTGATTGACTAACATAGGGTGGGGGCTTAGATGTACCAGGGAGTCATGTGATGGACACATTTATACAGTTACCGGTTCCTAAATCAGTCTTCAAAATTTAATGGTAGTTAAGTTCTTACATACATCATGTGATGCACCTGAACACATCATCAGTGACGTAACCTGGAGTCATCGGATCATTCAGGTCGTTCAACATCAGACACCCTCGACCCCGCCACAGTTGATCAGACCGCGGCGGGTGTTCAGGTAGCGAGCCCTAATCCCCATGGATCTCCTCTCCGGATCCTGAGCCATCTCGAGGCTTTCTAAGCTGCTTCGTTGATGTTCTTGATGGCCCTGCTCCTTTTATCTTCCTGTGATGCCTAGTACACTGAGGGCTCTGTGGGGTGAGTGACCCACAGATCCCCTACAGCCTGCTTCGATGGGCATACACTTGGCCTTCCATCTCTGTTCTTGGCACTGACAGCTCCATGATTATGATGTTCTTGGTGCTCTCAGAAACCAGAAAAATATCTGGCCTCAGTCTGGTTTTATGTTTCTTCTGCTTCTGAATTCAGTCTGAGCTAAGAAAGCAGTGGCATGTGTGCAAAGTACAATGAAATTGTAACATGAAATTCTGACTTGCCTACTTTCATAAGCAGCGTTAATTTTCAGTACAGTTCCAGTATTTAGAAATCTTGGTGATAAAATTCACAGAGAGCGTGGGGTTTACGTTTCGTTAGAACATTTGTATTTGTTATTGGAAACAAAACTTAGCAAGCTTTGCCATTTTAATGACCGCTCCTTTTCAAGAACACCTAGTATGTGTTTAACGTTAAAGTTTACTGCTGCTACTTTTAGATGAGCATCTGCAGGTGCTCTCCAAGCCAAATCTAATCATTTTCATCCTTGTTTAAATCCCTCATAAATAGATGTGTTCGTGATTGATTTATTTTGGACAAGATTTTTCTTTATAAATATTGCTATATTTATTGCAAAAAAATTAGATTTTTCCAGTATCATGCAGGTGTAATACTAAGTACGAAATACTACTATGAGATATCTAGCAACATTTTAATACAACGTTCAACACAAGGTAGTAGAGCAATATGTGGCAGAGTGAAGTACCAGTACAATGTGGAGCAGTGGTTAGAATATGGAGAATGCTGCAGAAGTATTATAAAATTAGCAACGCGATGTTCAGGTACCGAGTGTACAACATTTCATGCCACAGCCTCGTGCAAACAAGTGAGACCAAAAGGAGCCGACCAAGATGGTTTTCTCACACTGTCCTGTGGTGGACATGACCTTTAATCCAGATTAATGTACACCCCACGCGCAAGAAAGAGCAGCAACACCGCTTGCGTAACGTCGCGTCATCCGTAAACGCACACATTGCACTCGTAGGTTATAAACTGCATTAAGTATAAATTTGCATTTGTTTACTGAGAATCTCTTCTGCTTATTATACGTGTACTTACTTCCCTGTCTGTTTATTATTTATGATTTAGGCATAAGGAAATCTGAGAGGATGAGTGGAGCCCAAGGACGGAGAAGGAAAATTAAAACTGGAAAATCATTGGATCTTAACTCCTTCAGTGTGGATGTTGCTGAAGAAATCAAGGAACTATTCAAAAAAAAGACCAAATACAATAAACCGCGGTCAGAGGGCTGGTGCATTCCAGATCCCAGTGAGTCATTTACGCACACCGCCCAGCAACATGGCTGCTTGCAAGCTCTGAAGAATTCCTTAAATGCTGTCAAGAACCAGCTAAGTGACAAAAACCTGGAGGTGTGGCACCAGCACACGTCCTTCACCAATAGAGCTGGTAAGATAATAGCCCAGGTACGTGTCACTGCTAATGCAGAAATCTGCACCCAGGCGTGGTGCAAGTTTTATGAGATCTTGTGCAATTTTCATCCGATCCCTGACAAGGTCCTACAGTGTGGGGAGCTGAATTCCGTGCACCTCTGTGAAGCTCCGGGCGCTTTCATTGCCAGTCTTAACCACTACCTGAAAACCAGCTCCTCTTTCTGTGACTGGCAATGGATCGCCAACACCCTGAACCCTTATCACGAAGGCAATTCCACTAGCACCATGATTACAGATGATCGCTTGATTATCAACACGCTACCCTGGTGGTTTTTTGGTAGTGATAATACTGGAGATATAATGCTGCAGAAGCATCTGCTTGAGCTGCAGCATTTGACCAGAAACATGTCCACCATTGATCTGGTCACGGCAGATGGAAGCTTTGACTGTCAGGGAAGCCCAGATGAGCAGGAAGCTGTGGTGGCCCCACTGCACTACTGTGAGACGGTAGCTGCGCTGCTTCTGCTTGGAGAGGGAGGCTCGTTTGTCCTAAAGATGTTCACGCTCTATGAACACTCTTCTGTCTGCTTGCTCTACTTACTGAATTGTTGCTTCCGCGAGGTTAATGTTTTCAAGCCAGCCACCAGCAAGGCTGGCAACTCAGAGGTTTACGTCGTCTGCTTGGACTACTGCAACAAAGAAGCTGTGAGACCCTTGCTGTCTAAAATGATCCGGAATTTCGGCCCTGATATCACCAGCCTGGGAGCGCTCTTCCCCCACACTCTCATTCCAGAGTCTTTCCTCACACAGCATGAAAATGTCTGCAAGTACTTTCATAAGCACCAGGTTCAAACGATTAAGGAAAACCTGCAATTGTTCCAAGCTATGAGTGCCAAACAGCAACAGAGACTGGAACAATTGAGAGACTGCGCGGTGGAGTTTTACCTCTGTCAGTTTCGAGTGCAGTACCTCCAGCGAAGCAAGTGGATCTCAAAAAATATAATCCCAGGCTGTGCTGTGAATTGCAAACTTTTTGGTCCTAGAAAGCAGGCGGCATCCTTTAATGAAAGGAAAGAACAGCAGTCCATGACTTGGAGGGAGAAGGTTCTAAAGGGCTGTTACAGGGAGGAGGCTGAAGAACACGCCTTGCAGGGAATGGGAACAGACTGTGTGCTTGAAGGACCAGCAAGAGACTGTGACATGAATAATTGGTACATCTTGGTCGGTCCACAGTTGACTACAATCAAGAGCACCCCCTTTTGTGACTTGGAACTGCTGAGCCATTTAAACGAAGCTCTGGAGCAGTCAGAGTTGGGAAAGTGTGGATCTGCGGGGCCGCTTGTACGACCTTGCAGCTCTTGCACGGCTCTAATGCCTTCCTCCATCCTTTCTGAGGTGCTGGAATGCAGTCAGCCGGACAATAGCGCGTGTAGGCAGGGGTGTCGGTGTGTGGTTGTGGGGAGCTCATCCTTGCTTAGCCATGTACCAGAGATGGACAAGACATTAGTGAAGATCACGCTGGAGCCCCCTTGCCGCACATTGCATCAGAGAACACTCCATGATGGTGAACCACGATATCAGCATGCATTTCTTACCCGCATTTTGCTTGCGCTCCAAAGGCTTCAAGCGGGGGGATCCTTAGTGCTGCCTATCCTCTCTGCCTTCACACGGGTCACAGCAGGGCTGGTCCTTGCCTTGCATCAGTGCTTCCGCTCTGTCACGTTCAGGTGCCCCATATCCTCTGATGCCCTGGGCCCTGTTGCCATGCTGCTGTGCATTGACTACCAACAACAGCCCAACGGTCAACTACTGACCTTCCTGGAAGACATGCAGTGCCAGATGTCCACTTTCCAAGAGCCTGACAGCCAGGCATCCCAGATCCTGCAGTTTGTGCCAATGGAGGTTCTTCTAAAAGGGGCACTGCCAGAGTTTCTGTGGAACATGAACACGACCATTGCAAGATATAAGCTGCACCTGCTGATGGAGGCTGAGCAGAGGTTGCTGATGCAAAAGAGCCAGATCCAGTGACTGATGTTAGCACCTGAAACTTTGTATTGGCGCTCAGTCAAGATTAATCATGTTTACCATAAATGGCAGTTTGCCTGCTATGCGGAAAAATAGAAATATATTTTGAATTATGAGTCCTTTATATACGTGACTGGAGGAAATTTGTCTTTGTAAAATTGACTGTTTTTAAAAAAACAGTCTTCTTTTGTATGGTGCATTTTTATTTGAGACTTCTCAGTTCTCACTGTTTGGAATGCCAAACCTTACTACTGAATACAGACGAAATGTGATTTATGTTGTTACAGGTCATTGGGGAGGGTGAGTTCTATTTCTTTTCTTTTGAGACGTAAATACCAAAAAACGACCAAAAAAGTGGTTCAAAAGTCAAATACCATCATTTGAAAACAGTGGATGCCTCATTTTGTCTGTGTTATTAGGTCGAATTCATATATATATACATGCATTTACAGTTTTTTTTTTTTTTATTTTTTTTTATTTTAACAAATCCAATTTTGTCTTTGAAAGGTTTTTCATTTGAAATCTAGATTTATTTACTATTTTTATTTATTTACTTTACCTATTTTATGCAACAGTCTAAGATGGGATTAAATAGTTACATATGTTTTCATGTTTTTTTTAATGACAGTTGATCTGAAGGTTTTATTTTATGAGAAATGTCTAACAAGCAGTGAAATATACAAGCGCTGTCGTGTGTGTGTTTTTGTTCTATCGAGTTTAAGTAAATGAATGTTTAACTTAAACTGGAAGATTAACACGTGAAGTGAATGGCAGGGGAAAGGTAGCTATTCTCTATGACATTTAAAGTACGTAATATCAGTTATTGGCAGGTAGTGAGCTCTTGCTTCAGAATTTTTCACCTTTTTGTTTCCTGCCTGTTGGTTCAAAGATTAAGGATTTGATAGAAACAAAGAAATGCAAGCATTTTGATGAGCAAGTACGTGTATTGGCAAGGTGGATTGCATCATGAAGTGCAGCGTGGAATTGGTTTTGACAATTGGTTGTGAGAGAGGCCTGGAACATTCCACTGCTGTAGAGGCATACAGTATGGGATCAGCCTTATTAAACGTTAAATAATACATGCATAAACAGGCTCATTGTGTTCAGAAAAAAAAGAAAGTTATGGGTGAATTTCAGTTGATTATATTAAAAGTGAAGCAGTGTTTTGGTTCTTTATAGCTTTTTTGTTTGCCATTTGCAAATAAAATATGCAAGTAAAACTTGGTGATGGTTATTTTTCTAATGTAACTTCAACTGAGGTGTTCAGTCTGTCAATTTATTTATTGTGCATATTTATCCCTTTGTCTGCTTGCAGGGAATCCTTATACAGTATCAGTATTGAGGCATGAAACCTTCATGGACGTGGAACTCTTGATATATGAACCTGTAAGAATGGTATTCATTCAGTCTTTTGAACATTGATGTAAATTAGTAGTGAAGGGAGAATCGAGGCTTCCAAGCACGTAGTGGGGAGAGCTGTCATTAGCTATCGGTTGATGCATGATTGGTTGATAATGATGTAATGGTACAAACAACATAAGCAAGGAGAAGCGTGATAAGCCAGCTAGTGGTTAGGAATACAGTACAAGTTCTTCATATCGACCCCAGACTCTCTCTCTGGTTTCATTTCCTTTTCCTTAAGTCCTGTTTCCATTTAAAGATTTTTAAAGACCCACTTGAAGATCTGCCATAACAAGCAATTTGCACATGCACACTATGCAAGTGAAGTTCCAGTAAGAACAGATTAAAAGCTATTCCCACTAAAATTTAACGTTACTGGCTGTGGGTTTGGGTCCTAGAGCTTGCTTCTTTTTTTTTTTTTGCATGTTCAAAAAAAGACTATAAAAATAACTGAAAACCTAAAAATGTTGAATTTATGGAAGGAGGGTGGTGTGTTTTCGGTAATTAACCAAAATAATATACATTTAGGTACCAATGAGGACACTTTTAATGTGTGACATCATTTGGTTTAGTTGAAAACTACTTTGTAAATGTCTTCAATATTTGCATTGTGTTCTAATCAACATCACAGTTGCCTGACATTAATTCCCCTGGCACATTACCACATAGGTAGAGCAACAAGACCGTTTGGTAAGTATTCCGTCTGCCATCTCTTCTGTCCCGCGCTACCGCTAAGCTCCAGGAGGAGGCGCTCATACTAATTGAAGGTTCTCCACACCAGTTGAATCCTTGATACCACTAACCGTTAAGACCCATAAGCCCCTTGGACATATTACCAGCTGGTGATGCATATCTCCGTCCCCCAAGCCGTGTCTTATGTGCCGTTCCTCTAGGGCCTGTTGGGCCGCAGAAAAAGCCCCACACTCTGTGCGGAACGCGGCCCACACAGGAGTGGATAACAAGTCAGCAGAGCAGTTTGGGAGTCAAACTGTATTGGCTTCAGGATTAGCGCCATCTTAGAAACGCCTCTCAGCAAAAGATTTGTTATTGGGGACCATGAAGGAGTGACAGAGCTGTGAATGAGATGCTGTTTGGCACCTCGCAAGATTCCAGGCTTCACACAATCACTAATAATTGCTGGGAAAAGAACATTTGAAACGATGGCAACTTGAGAATGCACAGTGCTTTTGGTAACTAGCACATGTGTGTCTAATGATAGACTGGCATCCCGTCCAAGGCAAGGTTATTATCGTCAACGAAAACGAACGAAATAACGAAAATTAGAATTGAAAAAACATTTTCGTTAACTGAAATAAATAAAAACGACAATTAAAAGAAAAAATAACTAACTATAACTGTATTGTGCGTTGACAAAACTAACTAAAACGTACTGAAATTATAGATGAAATGTCCTTCGTTTTCGTCTTTGTCAATTTATTTATAAGTCGATTTATTTCGCTCTAGCAGTTTTACGTGAGCTGGCGGCACTGTACGGCACCTCTCTCACCGCGTTACCTGGAAAAATGGCGACGACAAAAGTTGGGAGAAGGCGGCAGAGTCCTATCTGGAATTTCTTTGACTATGACAGCGAGACAGATAAGAGCAGGTGCATTGTAGAAACAGGTGACAAAATATGTGGGATACTTCTCAAGGGAAAAACCCCCACAAATCTGAAAGTCCACTTGAGAAGCTCGCGTAAGACGGCTAATCGCGAGTACCTTGACCAAGTAGCCTCTCTGATTAGCTCCCCCGAAAGAGAAGCAACATCCCGGCCAGGTAGCACCGGGAAGAAGGAGACAACCATAATGGACTGCTTTCACCGACGACCAAACAGCTGCTGGTTAGTAAATACGCAGGAACACCACAAGACTTCATTTCCTTTTTCTTTACAATATTGGACGTATGGTTAACATAGAAAAGCAAAGCACATCAGCATCAAGCCCCCGGGGAAGACCCAGGACACGCTGGAGAGACTACATGTCTCAGCTGGGCTGGGAACACCTCGGGATTTCCCCAGAGGAGCTGGAGGAAGTGGCCGGAGAGAGGGAAGTCTGGGTTTCCATGCTGAGACAATTCTGTTGTGCAATGGTTTTTGAGTTTGTTAATGTTTTTCTCAGATTGAGCTCCCTGAGACTCCTGGCTGTCAAGAAATGTCACTACCTGTATCCAACATCAGAAGCAGTATCACACACATTTTGCACTTAAGCTGCTATCTTATAGACCAGGGGTCTCCAACTCCGGTCCTGAAGAGCTACTATCCAGTAGGTTTTCTGTCCCACTGGGCTTCTGATGGGCCACACCTGTTCCTGGTATTTACCTGAGAACAGGTGTGGCTCATCAGAAGCCGGGTATGATAGAAAACCTACTGGACGGTAGCTCTCCTGGACTGGAGTTGGAGACCCCTGTTGTAGACTGTTGGTTGTTGTGGATGGTTGGTTGTTCAAA